GGATGGGGTTGGGATGGGGTTGGGATGAGGGGAGGGTGAGGTAGGGGTGAGGTGTGTGTTCCCTCGTAGATTTGTGGAGGGGAAGTTCGGTGTACTGTGCTCAGGCTAGGCCTGAGCCGCCCCCCCAATCCCAAGCTTATCCCTCTCCTAAGTGATGGGCCCAGAGCAGGTCCTTGATAAACCTCCTTGTTTCCAGGCTAAACCTCCTTATTTCCAGGCTAAATTTCCCTATTTCCAGCCTGAACATCCTTATTTCCCTCCCCTGCCATCCCAGGGCTTATCCCTCCCCTAACTGATGATCCCAGAACAGCTCCTTGATAAACCTTATTTCTAATTTAAACCTCCTTATTTCCAGGCTAAACATCCCTATTTCCAGGCTAAACCTTCTTATTTCCCTTCCCCACCCCCCCATCCCAGGGCTTATCCCTGCCCTAACTGATGATCCCAGAGCAGCTCCTTGATAAACCTCCTTATTTCTAATCTAAACCTCCTTGTTTCCAGGCTAAAACTCCTTATTTCCAGGCTGAACTTCCTTATTTTCAGGCTAAACCTTGTGCCTTCCTCTTGCAGCAGTCACCTAATTGCTGCTTATTCCAGCCAGGAATTCCCTTCAGGATGTGACTAACTCTGGTTCTCCTCTTAGCCCTCTCTTAAAGCAGCTCCACTGGGTGATGTTTGTTGGGTTTGAGTTGGAGCTCTGAGGATTCTCTTTTGCTTCCCTCCGTGTTGGGGTTAGGGAATGATGTTTGGCTCTTCGTGTGGAGCCTCCAGGTTGTTCCTAAGGGTGGCTTTGAGCTCTTGGGAGGCACTTCCCAAATAAACCAGTGTTTATTGGGCTGTGAAGGAGGAGGTTCCCTGGGGGTAGTGGGTTTGGGAGTGAAAACAGAAGGAATTGGGCACGTTAAGCTTTGCTGAAGGTGTTGGTGGATGTGGTCAGGAATGTTAAGGGGTTAGGATGAACCTTAAGGATCATTTAGTCCCAACCCCCTGCCCTGGGCAGGAAATCACCTTTAATCTCTATCCAGTTTGGGGCTTGAAATTGGATTCACTCTTAATAGCAATGGAAAAACACTTGGGAAGATGTGTCTCCTTGAACTTCCACACAGGAAGGAGCTCCAGGAATATTTAGAAGTAGATGCAGAGGAATCTGTATGATACAAAATCTGTTTGGAGGTGCTAAAGGTCAAGAGTGAGTAATCATGGATGGGAGGAAGGGAAGGAAATCTGCACTTAACTCCTGTTTTATTCCCTTTGGCAAGCAGTGAACAAACAGCAACTAACACCAGATCTCAATTTTTCCTCTCTTTCTTTTAGATTTGGGAAAATTCCCTGCCAAAAAAAAAATCCAAACCCAGGAAAATTCACTAGTGTTTGCGTGAGTAAAAAGGTTCCAACCATTTCTCATTGATCTGTAAGAACAATTCCATTCACTTGTGTCCACAAGAGTCAAACCCTTGGCACAGGAATGTGCAGTGGAAGGGGTGGAAACACTCCTAGTTGAACTTGTTCTGGTCTGGTTGCAGATTTTGTGGCATTTTTAAAGCAAAATAAGGATCCAATTGTATGATTCCACATTTTTTTAAAAAAAAAAAAAAGGGCTGTGGCTCAATAAAATCTCTTCCTGGTGGCTCTAAAAACTCATCAGCTCTTGGATTGGGCCTAAGCCACCTCCACATGATCTTACAGCAGTGGATAATGATGATGTGGATTAGGGAAGTGAATTGGATTGGGCCTAAACCACCTCCACATGATCTTGCAGCAGTGGATAATGATGGAGATGTGGATTAGGGAAGTTTGTGATGGCAAATTTGTAGGCCTTGATACCAAACCCAAATTATTCCCTCAAATCCAAGTCATTCAGCTCCCAGGCCTCATGCAGCCATGCCACTTGCCAAGTGAGCATTCCCTGCTTCCAGAGCTTGCTGTGTCCCTGCTCTGCTCTCTCCTTCCTGCTCTTGGATTGCAGCTGTGTGATGAGGGCTGAAACCATTCCCAAGGATGTCTCCCTGTGTGTGTGTTCATCCCGTGTGCATGGACATGTTTGTGTGCTGGTCCCAACCCACATCACCCCAAACTCCTCGTGGCATCACCTGGAGCTCATCTCACCCAAATGTGATGGAGATGTCCCATTTTTCCCCCCCAGTTCCCTCCAAATGGGACACTTTGCTGTGGGAAACAGCCCCAACTGCTGCTGGTTTTTGCTCTCCCTCTCTGCCTCTCTGCTGCCTGCTGGGAGTGTATGAGCACACCAGGTGTGTTTGTACACACTGTGGGTTTGCTGTGCAGGTAACACAGTGTGGGGGGGAAGGTTTTTGTGTTTTCTTAATAGGTGAAGAAATCTTGGAAGACCAGAAATTGCAGCTTACTGAATGTTAAGTTATTAAAAGCCAACCCAAATTAGCCATTCCCCAGCTGTGGAAGATGGAGCCTCATTTTTGCAGCCACTTTGCATCCCAAGTTCATCTTTAAGTGCACTGAGGCTTTTTTTTTGTTGGTGGTGTTTTTTTTTTTTTGTTTTTTTTTGTGTTTTCTGGAAGAGCTAAGTAACCCTGGCTGTCTCCAGCTGACATATCCCAATGGACTTGCTTCCTCCATTAGTTGTAAGATGTTTAAAAAAGCACATCCTAAGTTTGACTTGTGGATGAGAGGTTCCCTTGGCAATGTGAGAAGGAAAGTTCTTTCTACCCCTTTGTTATTAACTCATGGACTCAGTGTTGGTTCGGCCTACAGGAGAAGGGAACTGGATGTCTGGCAAGATCAATGTGTGTGCTGAAGTTGTCCAGGTGTGTGAGCTGGGGAATCCTCTGGGGTTGGGAAGGAATGTTGAAGGGATCAGTTAAATGTATCTGGTTATCTGTGTGTGTATATCTGTCTCTATATGTATCAAGAGGTCAAATTGATGTGTATATATATATATAATATCATAGAGTCACAGCCTCCCTGGGCAACCTGTGCCAGGGTCTCACCACCCTCACAGCAAAAACCTTTTCCTCACATCAGTTTCTGTAGTCAATAGAAATTCTTAGTTCTGGATTCACCATGTAATATTGCAAATTACTGTCATTCAGGGGTTGGAGAAGAAGATTGAAGGTGTCAGTTGCACCTGATAGAAATTAGTAGTGGCTATGGTTAGTGATTGATTAATCCTGTAATGGTGCAAAGGTAGCATTGATAAGATGATTTCAAAGGATGTGGCAGTAGGATGTGATACTGGTGAGAAACTGTGTTAAGATGTGTTGTGAAGAAGCAGTTTTTAAGGTGTCTGAGAAACTGTGTTAAGATGTGATGTTGTGAAGAAGCAGTTTTTAAGGTGTGATGTTCTTAAAGGTGATATTATTGAGCTGTAATGTTACAAAGATTTCATTGCTATTGTAATGATTATTTAATTGTAGTAATTAAGGTGGGATTTCAAATCTATCCCTCCAAATTCTGACCAGTATTCTAAGAACTGGTTCTCTTGGGCCTACAGCCACACCCACTAGTTTTTGTCTGCTCCAAGACACAGAACAGAACTGATGACAAACTTCTGCACAAATGTGGCTTAGTTTTTGTGACCAACTCATCTCTAGTCGTTGCCTCCTCCAGAGGTGACTTTGCATAGCAGAAGCAGCTGTGAAAATGGTAATTGCTCCACTAATTCTCATGTCTTGATTCTTTCTAGCATTACTTATAAAAAGAAGGTTTCACTGATATGCCAGAGAAGTCTCTGAGTCCCAGAGAGTGAAGCCAGTTCTTGCCAAGTCTGGAGGAAGACCCTGGAAGCAAACTCTGAGAGCAAACCCTGAGAGCTCATTCCAAGAGTTTATCCAATATGTCCAACCAGGGAGACGACTGCTACTTCTACTTCTATTCTACCTGCAACAAGGTGTGTTTGGGACTCTTGGCGTTGCTTTTTCTGTTCTCACTTTGCTTTTCCCTCCTCAGTCTGGAAGCGAGGGAGGGGGAAGAGTGTGAGGAGACACACAGATTGCTGTGAGCTTAATGAACACAGCGATTCTGCTTCCAGCTCAGCTAAAATCGGAGGGAGGGTGTGTTTTTTTTCTAGGCTGTGTGGTTTTGTGTGCCTGTTTTGGCTGATTTCCTGTGCCTTGCAGGGAGACAGCTGTGCCTTTCGCCACTGCGAGGCTGCCCTGGGCAGTGAGACTGTGTGCACCCTCTGGCAGGAGGGTCGGTGCTTCAGGAATGTCTGCAGGTTCCGCCACATGGAGATCGATGTGAGTGTTTGCCTCACAGCTCCTCCCACCCCACGCCCCGAGGCACTGCTGGGGGAGGGCTCCCTGTGCTTCTCCCTGGTCCATTGACTTCCTTCAAAGGGATATTGGCTGCTCAAATCGGTTTTTAAGGTGTATCTCGGCAAGAAATGTTTGTGGTAGTGCTGAAGTTACTCCCTTAGCCACAGGGAAAAGCAGCCCTGTGTTTCAACATGCTGGAGCAGGGAGGGAAACAGCTCCTGGGAGCTGAGCTGGATAAGGGCCCTTCAGTCTCTTCTGCCCTGATGTTCCTCAGAGCATATTATTGTGACCCCTTGGAGTAGTCCAGGGTTGGGATAAAAAATCTGGAAAGGAACTAAGGCTCTGAAAGATGAATTCAGGTAGATTTGGCCTAGTGGGAGGTGTCTGTGGCCAGGGAGGGTTGGGAATAGATGATCTACAAGGTCCTTTTCAACCCCTTAACATCCAGGATCCTGTGATTTAACCTGGACAATTGAAGACGTTTTCTTCTTTGAATAATTCCGTGATTTGGGATTTATATGTGTTTAACCCACCCTGAATTGCCATTTGAGAGTTTTCCTCCAGCTGAGTGCCAGGAAAGCAAAGCCACATAATGTGGAGCTGTTGCAGGTTTATGTGCCCTGAAGTATTTTTAGTGATAAACTGACCTTTGGAATGATATTTCAACACTGCACTGGGCCTGGCTGTGACAGGCTGGGAGGCTGAGTCTCTGTGCAAATCCCAGGGAAAGTTCCTGAGCTCTGATTTCCTTGTGCCCTCAGAAAAAGCGGAGTGAGATTGCCTGTTACTGGGAGAACCAGCCTGGAGGCTGCCAGAAGTACAACTGTGCTTTCCACCACACCAAAGGACGTTACATTGATGGACTCTTCCTACCCCCGAGCAAGAGTGAGTTCCTCACTCCTGTTTTCTTTAAATACTACAGAATCAGGTGTGATTGTTACTTAAGGGAGGGGCAAACACCTCAGAGGCTCAAGGAGCTGTTGATTTATGAGGTGCAGGCAGAGGCTCAGCTAAGTGGGGTGTGATCATGAAGGTGCATGGATTTTCATGCTCAGCTCTGTGTTTTGTGATCTTTGAGCTTCCTTTGCCCTGGTTTGATCCTTCAGGGTGGGGAGATGGGTGTGAAGGGAAGTCACTGCTCGTGGTGTCCCAGGGGTGAGAATGAGGAAACTCAGTCAGTAGCCAAGTGGGTTCTTATCTGGTCGACAAGAACTTTGTCAAAAACTTTGACCCCAACAGTAGCAATGTTGGGGTCAAAGTTTTTGAAGTGCCCACTGAAAGGTGATGTCCCTTCCCTCCAGCTACACTTCCAAGTCCACCCGAGTCTGCAGAGGATGATGTGAAAATGGCTCAGATGTTACTGCAGCAAACCAAACTGTCTGTGCAGTCCAACCCTTCCCCACAGCTCAGGGGGGTGATGAAAGTGGAGAACTCAGAAAATGTCCCAAGTCCTACACACCCTCCAGTTGTCATCAATGCTGCGGATGACGACGAAGATGATGATGGTGAGAATTTTTGTCCTTACTCAAGGGATTACTGGTGTGAATCTGTAAATCACACGGAGCACATAGTGGTTAAAGCTCCAGAGGAGAATGTGGAGTCCTCAGTGTTCTTACAGATGGAAATGTCATTGTCTGAGTTACAGGAATATGAAAAATCTTGTCTAATCCCAACTCCCTAAATTACCAGTGTGCTTTTACCTTCCAGACCAACTTTCTGAGGAAGGAGAAGAAACAAAAACTCCTGTCCAGCAACCAGCCACAGAAACCCATAATGGATTGAGACTGATTTCCACTAGGAAATCCAATGCTAACACCAAGCAAGGTATTCCAGCAGCTGCAGGAGGGTGGGTTGGGAGGAGAGTTGGGCAACTAACTAACTACCTCTTCATTTGCCCGTGAGGAGTGTTGACACTCAGAGCCCTTGGGGAAGGTTGTGAGCTGTGAGAAGCTTGAGGATTATGCTCCCAACATGAGCCATTAAAGTTTGACTCCATGAACTGTTCTGTGCTTGCAGATGACAATTTAAACTTCGGAATAAAAACACTGGAAGAAATCAAATTGAAGAAACTGAAGGAAAAAGCCAAAAAACAAGGTGGTGAGTTAATATCTCCTACTTCTTTACTCTCCTGCCTCCTGTTGCCTTCAGCTTTGGGTCTGCTGCTGTGCCCTGCTGAGGGCAGTTCCTTGCAGGAGGTGATTCCTGCAGCTGGAGCTGCTTGAGGGACACACTTCCATGTTTTGTTGGGGGCCTTGAGCTATTTTGGCATGTGATCTGTTTTCTGAAACAGCTGCTGTTCCTGCTTGGAATTCCAAGGGCAAATCCAAGGGAGAATACTCATCTCCTATTGACATGCACTGGCTGTTATGTGTTTGGCAGCAGTGAATAACTTAGGTCCTTGGGCCTGGTGGTGGTTTGCTTGGGTTGTTTCCCTAAACATCCCTATTTTTTGCCATGTTCCTATCAGAAGGTCCTTCAGGAGCTGCTGTTGATCCTCTCCAAGCTCGGACAATCCCTGTGCCAGAGAAGGAAAATGTAAGGACAGTGCTGAGGACTGTGACTCTGTCCTCAAAGGAAGGTGAGAGTGAATGCTATCATTTCCATCTCATGGCTCCTCAATCCGACAATTAACTGCTAATTAAGACAATTCACATTAGGCTGCTGGTGCCTTTGCTAATTAAAACCCTTTTCTGCCTGAAGACCTTGGATGTATTGGAGAGGTTTGGAATTTGTAGCTGCTCAGTTTGTTGTGTTGCAGTAAAAGATCAAGAGGAGGTTTTTGTCATTAAGTCACAACTAATCATATCTTATCACATCCTCCAGACTCTCAGATGTGCTTAATTGGACTCTGAGGGAGATGTGTGGAAGTGCAGGAACAGCAGGGAGAGATGCTGATGGCAAAACAGGTGTCAGAGTGCAATTAGGGGTTAATTAACAGCAGGAGTGATGGAAGGGAGGACCTGGAGAAGATGGAGTTAGACAAGGGGCCAATTTTTGCAGCACTGAAGAGGCTGACGGTGGCATTGTGTGACATGACTCTATAAATTCCTTTTCAAGGAAGTCACCAGTTCCTTTTAAAGGCAGAAACATGTGGAACCAACTCACAGCCATCAGCAGTTCGTGTGGTTTGGCTGCCAAGGGGTCGTTTTTGGGACGTGGGCTGGAAGGATGATGCTTTCTGCTGTGCTTTCTGTGCACTGGAGAGTTCTCTCTTTGTTTTAGGGGTGGATCCTGTGATCCAGCTCAACATTCCTGACAGACTGGGAAAACGCAAGGGTCTCTTAGGTGAGAAGTTTTTCTGAGCTCACCCAAACCTGGGCATATCTACAGATATTTCTGCTGTGTGAGGGAGGAAAATGGATTGACAGCGGGAAGAGCAAATATTGTCTGTTATATCAGAAAATAAAGCTGGAAGGGTTGAAGTTTGTGGCTGAAATTCTCCTCCACAGAAAGGTTCTGAGAGCATTTCTCCTTTCCTGTCTCCCTGAAGGTGGTAAAACCTTCCCTCCCCTGAGAAGGAACCTGGCAGAGAGGCTGGGGAGGAAGACAGAGCTGCTGAACAGTGACAAAGCTCCAAGGAGAGGCACAGGTACCAAACCCACCTGGATGTGGCACCCAGAGCATTCCTGAACTGTCTGTGTGTCCTGGGCTCCTTTTGGTTCGTGGCTCTCTCTGCCTGGTGATGTGGGTTAGGGCTTTTCTGGTGGGTGGTTGGATTTGATGAACTCCGAGGTCTCCTCCAGCCTAATTAATTCTATGTTGGCTGTGGGCTGAAAATAACTTTGAATCCCACTGAAGTGATCTCCTGTCTCGTCTCCCAGTGGGAACACCCAACTGGGATTTCTGCAGCCTCACTAACTTCTGCTGTTCTATCTTTCAGTCCACGTCCTGAAGTCGCTGAAGGCGAGGCTGGGGCTGCCCTCTGAACAGAGCAGCACAGAGACAGGTAAGAACTGGACAATAAATTCCCTTCCCCTTTTGCCTTCCCATGAACTTCCCTCCAGCCCTGGAAGTGAGTTAACAAGTTAACGGTCGGACTGGATGATCTCTCCTGACTTTGATGACTCTGTGAGCTCATGTTGGTGCTTCTTTGGTTTGGTGCTGCCAGGGAAAGCTGCCAAGCCCATCGAGGAGATCCGGGTGAAGACGCTGGAGGAGATCCGCCTGGAGAGGGCGAACCAGCGCCGCGGAGAGGCCCCGGCCGAGGCTCCCAGCCCCACCCCCAGGCCCTCCCCGGCCGTCAGGATCAACCCCCTCGCCGCAGCTCTGGCCGAGAAAAGCCGCAAGAGGCTGCAAGAGGAGAAGGACAAACCCGAGGCTGAGCCCAAGAGGCAGAGCCTCCCTGCCACGGTTGTGCCTGGCAAAGTGCAGCTGGCAGAGCCAGGCAGAGCCAAGACCCCTGGGGAAGTGAGGATTAAAACCCTGGAAGAAATCAAGAGGGAGAAAGCTCTGCGGATGCAGCAGAGTGGGGAGAACATTCCAGCTGCCCCTGCCCAGCCTGAGCCTGCCCTCAGGGAGAGGAAGCTCCTGCGGGTCACAAAGCTCACAGGTAAGGAGGGTCTACCCTAGGAAAGTGCTTCCCTGCTGGAACAAATTCCATTTGCCTTTTCCTGCTCTGAACACTAGAGCAGGAAAGTGGCTTCTGAGTCAAAAGGACAGTGTTATTTTCCAGGAATTTCATGCTATTTTCTGTATTTCCCACTGGGAAATTCATCTGCTGAGGAGTTTTGGAGTCTTAATTTCTCTCTTTTCTGCCTTCTGGTTGTGGTATGGGATCTTCCCTGGGCAAAATCCAAGGTTACCTTTCTCTTGGGAATACATGTCATTCCTTGATGTGTCTGGGAAGGATGTAACAACTCCTTAGCATGGACATTGAAGTTCTCAGTGTTAATGTTGTATAACCATGTGAGAAGAGAGGATATGATTGAGGGGAAGATCAGATGCTGCAGGAGTTGCTCCTTTCCTGCTGTCCCTGTATTAGACATGAGGAAATGCACACCCTGAGGAAATGGAGGTGTAACCAGGTTTCTTTACTTCCCCTGGTGACTAAATACTTTTCTCTTTTGCTTGTCCTACAGCATCTGGAAGAGACGAAAAAATGATAGTGGAGTTGAACCCCAAAGCTGCAGAGGTGAGTTCCTGTGAAGATGGACAAATTTCAGATCAGTTCTGTCACGTTTTGTTTGTGTGCCCATAAAATCCCAACAGTTCTGGTCAGTTTTGCCCTGTGTTTGTACACTCAGTGCCTGAGTCTGAGTGTGTTCCCACCTCTCCTCATTGGGTAATTGCTGCAGGGAAATCCCAAGTTCTGTCACTTCCAACAGTTCCAGGCAGCACCATAATCGTCTCTTTGACCTCATTAATGAAGTAAAACTTGGAATCAGTCTGGAGATACCTGACAATGAAACCTGTTAGCACCAGGGGTTGATGTGGGGAGAAGAATTCTGTTCTCAGTGTCTTTCAGACTTCAAGGATAACTTCAAATTCCAAGTGGAGTGTTCGAATCCAGAAGGTTGGAGCTTTGTCCGAGGGTGTGTGGAGTAGCTTGTGTGGCTGTATATGCCTGAAAAAGAATGGATAGGTTACAGCTGGAGGCTTGTGCTCTATTCCAGCAGCTTGCTGTGTTGGGAATTGCAGGCTTTGAGCAGCATTTCCATGGCAAAACATGGATCTGGTTACAGGCAGCATTTTGTGCAAGGAATGTTGGATTTGAATGGTGCCACGTGGAGCCCTTTGGGAGGAGTTGCCACCCAGGTTTTCCTAATGAAACCTCTGTGGATTTTTGTGCTCTTAACCCTGTTCTTTCCCTTCTTTCTAGCCCTCAGATGCAAGTGCAGCTACCTCAGCAGTTCAGGTGAAGAGCCTGGAGGAGATCATGTGGGAGAAGCACCAGCTGAAGCTGCGCCAAGAGGAGAAGCTCCAGAGGGAAACAACTGCTGTGCCAACTCCAGGAGAAAAACCAACCAAGGAAAAAACTCTACCATCAGGGAGGCCTGAATCCACTGTGGTTTCAGGATCAGCTTATCAGCTCGGGAAGAGGAAATTGGTGAAGCCTCAGAAGGATGGTGCTGAGAACCCAGGGAAGGAGGGAGCTGAGCCACCACGGAAAAAGGCAGCTCAGCCCCCAGAGCGCAGACCTAAAAGTAAGGGTTGAGTCCTACCCTGGGACATGTTCCTGAGAGCAGCTCTGGGGGTGTTCACCCTGAGCTGCAGTGTGTGCTCACAGCCCAGAAACCAGCTGTGTCCTGGGCTGTCCAGCTTGGAGGGAGAAGGTTGTGTGGGGACCTCATAGCACCTTCCAGGAGCCGAAGGGCTACAAGAGAGCCAGACAGGGACTGGAGTGGCAGGACAAGGGGGAATGAGTTCCCACTGACAGAGAGGAAATTTAAGTTGGTTATTGGGAAGAAACTCCTCCCTTTGAGGGTGCTGAGGCTCTGGCACAGGTTGCCCAGAGCAGCTGTGGCTGCTCCATCCCTGGGAGTGTTCCAGGGCATGTTGGATGTGGCTTGGAGCAACCTGGGCTGGTGGGAGCTGTCCCTGCCCATGGCATAGGGTGGAACACGACTTTCTTTACAATCCCTTTCCATGACTCTGTGATTTAGGATTATGGAACTATTAAGATAACCTGTTGATTTTTTTTTCAACCCAAGGCAAAACAAGTGTTCAGTCACTTCTCTCTTCCTTTTTTCCAGCCAAATCTAAGGTGTGCCTGAAGCCTCTGGAAGGGAAAGGCACCTCCTCCTCAAAGCAGCCCCTGAAACGGAATGTCCCTGAGAGCCACCCCACGGCCGTGGTGGCAGTGAAGCCTCTCAGTGCTGCTGGTGGGGACACCAAGGAGCTTTCAGCCAAGAAAGCAGCTGCGGTAAGGACAGTGCCTGAGGCACCACTGGCTCCCTGGGACAGCTTATCCCCAAATTTTCCCCACCTCTTAGAGAAAAAGGTGGAAAACTGACCTGTTCCACAGGTCTGTTCCTGTTTGCCCCCAGGAGTGTGTGTGCAGGATGGCTGCAGCACTGTGCTGCCTTTATTGGATCAGTGGCAATGTTTGCACGATGCTCTGAATTCTCTGTACTTGAAGGGTTTTGACCTTTAGAAAGTCCTTAAAAAAGAGCAAATCAGTAAACCTCCAAGTGATCACTGATTTTGGGCCTGCCCTGGCACTGTGTTTTGGTTGATGCTCAGCAGTGCTGGGGGAGAAGCAGCAGGGGAAGAACCTACTGAAGGTTTTACCTTTGTCTGATAAAATCTGTCTTCTCTCTTTCCAGGCTGTTGCTCCTGCTCTCCCAGAGGACAATTTGGTCTCCATTCCTCGCAGGGAGAAGCCTCAAACCAGGTACCAACCACCCCTTGCCCTTTTCTTCACCTCTGTGACTTCAGTATGAACAAGTGGGTTTGATCACACGTGGAAAATTGGAGTCCAGAGATAATCAGTGCCCTAACCCAACAAAGGAATTGTTAATCTGAGACGGTTTTATAGCAGCAATGAGAATTTTGGTTGTTTTCTTAAAACACTGCAGTTTGGAGTAGATTTTTCAGTGGGTTTTTGGCCTTTCTGAAGGGCTGCAGAGCTTCACTTCTTACCCTTGTTACACTCAAGTCTCTGCTACAAACACTAAACCTTCCTTCCCAGATGTGTCTTCATGGGTAAATCCCCAACCTGACAACTGCAGCTGCTCATCCTGACTGTAAAAGTTTACGGGGTCACAGTCCCTGTGGCAGCTTGAGCTGTAGGAGGGTTAAACTAGTTTTCAGAGCTGCTTTGCAGCAAGTCTCTCTCTGGTTAAGCAATGCCACCCACTGACTGCTCTTTTCCTGTTATTCCCAGCCCTGAGCTCCACCTGGGGAGCCAGGCAGATTCCCTGGCACAGCCAGAGGTCTCCAGCTCAGCCTCCTCTTCCTCTGAAGGGCCGATGAAGATGCGTCGGCTGAGCTCCACAGGCTCTGCCAAGGCACCTCTGTCGGTAGAAGATGACTTTGAGAAGCTTATTTGGGAAATCTCAGGAGGCAAACTGGAAGCAGAGATTGACCTGGACCCAGGGAAGGATGAGGATGACCTCCTGCTGGAACTCTCGGAGATGATTGATAGTTGAACTGCAGAGACTTAAAAAAAGTTTAAAAAAAAAAAAAAAAAAAAAAAACAAAAAAAAAATAAAAGAAACCTCCACAAAACCCCCAAACCTGTATATTTGGTTGGATACCTGGAGGTGATCCTTTTCCTAGCTGAGGAGTGAAGCACAGTTGGACTGTTAGAGTTAGGCAGGGTCTGCACTCAGTTGTCCTGAAGTTCCCCATGGATCAGAGTCCTGTGCCTCACTCTGTGACTGTTGGTGGCTCCTTCCACACCGAGAGGACAAAGCACTTGGTTGTTGTTTTTTTTTTTGAGGGACAGGAAGATCCCATCTCCAACCTGTGGTGGTTGTGATCTGCTGATTTCATGATGCTCCAAAGGCTTCAAATCCAAACTTCCACCTGG